ATCTCACAGTCATCATCTTTGATCTCGTCACAGGTACAACAGACCACCCACTCATGGCACACGCAATGAAAACTTAATCCTGCTGGCTTTGGTTCACCTGCTGGTGCCCACTGGTGTGTGTGAGACACTGATCAGGACTCATACAGTTGTGCTGCTTTTGTCAACAACAAGGAAAGGGTCAGGTCAAATGACAATACAAGTAATCACATGACTATAATGCCACTAAATATACTACAACTCGTGTGCTGTCCATCAAACTTTTTTTTTTTTTAGTAATTTCAGGACGATTCATTCCTGACGCACGAAACCAACAATTCTCTGAAATGTAGTTCTCATATAATCAAGTTTAATCCGGCAAAGTGGGCTAACGAATTGTAATTACCATAATTTGTTGCACCAATGACAGAGTGCATCTGTGTTTTACTTCTGCTGACACAAACAGAACGGACGCCTCGAAGCTTCAGCAGGACACAATAAACAGCAGCTTGATTAAAATATCATCTCAGGTTGGATGTAAAAGATCGTTATGGGAGTCTGTCCACAGTCTGTGGGTCTTGATGTTACAGCAATATGTTAAAATGTTATAGCTTTCTGCTCTTGGAATAATCGTGAAGACTTTGAGGAAATTTAATAAAAAACTAATCTCTCAAAAACAGAGTAGAGGTCACATGGTGCCCCAACAATGACCTGAAGTGTCACACACATCTTCAACCGGTGTAGGTACCAGATGCTCGGCCTGTAAGGACCCCGGGCACGTCTACCACCGGCAGCACAGAAGATCAATACAGTCGCCACAGTTTTAAGGTAGGCTCCCAAGATTAGTTTGACCAATTCAGTATCCGAGTAAATGTTAATTATGGTCACAATCTCCCCTTCTCTTCCTTAGTTATGGCGCTGTAAAATGACCAGACGTCACAGTGAAGTTGACCATCATCATTTTATCCTTTAAGACATTTGTGTGAAACTTTGTAAGGAAAGAAATAAGGGTGCAATAGTCTTATAGTTTACTACAATATTATAGATTTTTATACACTATACAATATAATAAAACTACACTTTCTAGAGTCACTCAATGTCCCTCCCACATCTGATTGGTTACACGTCACAAGTAATAGCCTAACCTACTGTTCCCTAACCCAATCATTGCGCTTCAGAGTAAAAACAGCATCCATCTGCTGTAACAGCGGCATTTAAAGTGAATGGTTAGATTTGGTCCGTGGTTCACAAGCGTACCGAACCATGTGTGGCGCTCTGTACACTGCACCACCAGCCAGAAACATGTTTTGTGAGGTTACAGTGACCCTGACCTTTGACCAACAGAATTTAATCAGTTTTATCTTTGAGTCCAACTGGACATTTGTGCCAAATGTGAAGAAATTCCCTGAAGGCCATCCTGAGATATCACGTTCACAAGAATGAGACAGATATATGGATGGATGGATGGATGGATGGATGGATGGATGGATGGACAACCCTGACAACCCAATCCAGCCACGGCCATCGCTGGCATGGAGGAATAATAACATAAAACAGACTGGGATGGAGTTCATGATGCTGGGCCAGGGTTCTTTAATAAAATGAGTGTTTTAGTTACGGATGAATGACTTAAACACATGTGAGTCTGACCTCGCTCACCGAGAGACTGAGCCGAGCTCCAGCAGTTGTCATTATTACATTTCTACAAGAACAACGGGGTGGAGATCAGAGTATTCAAGACATCCTAAAACATCTATGGCCAACATTTCTGTAGCAGTCACAGATGAGCTACATGAATGTGCTTAATTGCTTCTCACGAGTTAACCTTATTGCAGAGTGCCTGAAACGTCTTTCCTCTGATCGAATATCGCAGCCTGTCTTTGATATCAGACCAAGAAAATCAACACCTAACCAGAGACTAGAGAGTCTGAAAGTCTGAAAAGCTTCTTGTGCAGATCCCTGTGTATTTAATTAGGCAAAAACATCCATCAGTCCTGCTGTAGACATGTAGAGTGCAGCTTGAGTTTGAAGTTAAGAGTTCAAGAAACATTTAATGATACACAACTGAGAATAGCAGTGTGTGTTCCCCTCACACTACCATAGTCTCACCTTCACCTTTTACTTAATGATTCAAACTAATCCGCTATGAGAAGCTTGAGATTTAACCTCCAAACCAGGCGTGGTTAAGTCTAGAAAGACTCCCTACAAATCATCATGCGTCTTTTTGACTGCACCAGTGATAAAGAATATACAGTATATGGCACCACTCGCACTGATAAGGTGTTCGTGCATTATCTACAAAAGCACCATTGTTCTGCTTCTCCAGTGGAGGTGATGCAACATCCTTCATCACTGATAGTTAACCAAAGCTCAGCCTCCAGACTGCAGTGTGTCAGGCTGTGAATGAGTATCCCCGTTTCCTTGACACACATCAAGCCTTTCTTGAGTGCAAGAGCAGGCTGAACAAAACAGCAATACAAAATGTACGTTTTATCTGGAACTTGGCCAAAAAAAAAAAGAATATTTGTCTTTATACAAGTTATGAATAAAACACACGCGGGAATCTTTGCAAACTCGGAAAATCAACAAACATTTATTTGCCAATATTAGAGTAGAGTAAGTAGAGTCGCTTCACCCTGACCTTCCGAGCATGAAGGAGAAACTACAGTGGCTGCAAAAGAACATTTCTATGCTTCTATCTAAAGCCAGTATTTGGTTTGTTCCTTCTGAGCTACTGTAACAAACATAGCATTTCAACATGGCTGACCAGCAGTGTCTGTAGATATAAACAGCTCATTCTACGGTAACAAAAACCTACCGATTACTATATTCAGTTGATTATCTGCTGTTAAAAAACATACCTATTCATATTCCCTTTCTTCCAATAGATCCTACTAAATGTTACCCACTGGATCTTTAACAAGAATTACACTGAATCACACTGTGTTGGTCAGTAGTCAGCTGTCTGCATATCAAATCGTTTGCACTTGAAAACAGCAGACATCTACACACACAGACTTTGCAGCTCTTACTTAGGAAGAACGGGCGGGGGGGGGGAGAATATGTGCAGTAAGCGTGACAGTAAAGCTGTGACCTTGGACAAAAACTAGAGCATCTAAATTATATGTGTTATCCAGATTGAAAGGTCATTCAAACAGTGTAGGGGACCGGTGGTTACACAGGACTGCCTTGTGAGGGAAAGGTAACGGGGCTGATCGACCTGTCCATGTCAAAGTGTCCTTGAGTGTGGGTCACAACACTGATGCTCACACATGCTTCAGGACTACTGCCCCTGAATCTTGACCCCTCCACTAAAAACTGTTTATATAATGCTACGTTTACATCGACAGTGTTTGTTGTTCCGTACTGATTTACCACTCAGATCTCATTTTTCTGTCAGACAGTTTTTTTGAAATGGGGCCAATATCTGACAGCAGTCGGGCACAAGTCATCCTTATGAGCTGACCCACATGTGGCAAACAACAATACCAAAGATTTACCACTTGGCATGTTTGTGCAGAAGTATACAATTAAAATGCAGAGCTCTTTACGTGAGTGTGTACGGCATGTCGTCATGCTGCTGCACAGCATCATATCTGGCATTATCATACATAACACAGTGTAACTCACTGTAAAATTAAACATTACTCCATAGTCGCTTCTTTTATTCGAGTCTGTGACTTCTTTAAAGTTAATTTTAAGGCTCTTGACTTTGTGTTACACTCACATTATTCCGTCAGCCATCTTTCATACCTCACTGTGGTTTTACTGCATTAAAGTGAAATTTAAAAATGATTATGTGGCCTGACTGTTCCTTAGTAACTGTAGCTGCAAAAGTTCATCACTTCTACAATGTTCAGACTAAGGTCACAGCAGCTCAAGTTGTGTCTGTGTCAGAACAAGGAGCACAAATGGAAAAGACCAAAATCTACATTAAAAGTGTACAATCTTGTCACACAGATGTGTCACACTTGCAGAGAGAGAAACCATTGGATCTGCTAGTGTGTGCTAGGTGCAAACGGCAGTGTATGTTACATCTGATTTGAACTTTAGTCACCATTCACATGACACAGCCTTATGGTGTCTCACTTCTAAACCCAAGTCAATCAAGGTGTGTAACGCACATTGCTCAGCAGAAGACCAGGTGTTCTATAGGCTGAACGCTTTGCATTATTAATCAGGACGCCGTGTTGCTCCCCATGTTCACCACTTAGTAATTTGTAAGCATTTTGCTCCCAGCTCTGTGCAACCAAACACCGCTGACTGCCCGAATCAGTTCAAGATATTCAACCAGCCAGTTGAAAGGAACCAACACACACTTAACGATATCCTGCTGTTCTTCTAACGTGTCAGTTTGTCTCTGTACATAACACCAAAACAATTCCCGTGCCTTGACTGTACTTAGTAAATAGACTTATAATTAGGGCCACAACCAACAGTTATTTATCATCAATTAATCTGTCGACATTTTTCTGAATTAGTTTATGAAATGTGTAAAACCAAATCCAAATGCAATCCCTTTCACTGACTTATGCCCAATTCATGAGAAAGCACTAATAGGGCAGTGGGATACCAACACACACTGGTCCTTAGTCATCAGTTGGGGATCAACAAGCCGCAGTTTGTGCCTCTCATGCATTCACATTGGGAATCACAGAGGTGACGTTCTCTCAGAAATATATATCCAAGAGCCCAGAAGGCTCTTCTAACCATCTGGGGAAGTATTTTATATATATATATATATATATATATATATATATTCAAGTTTTTTTTTAACCCAGGTGGCTAGAAGAGTCTTTGGGGATGTTTGGAATACCTTAAGAACCGAAGTAAGTGTTGCTAAATGACCTTCTGGGCGTTTCAGTGAAACACTTATCCCTGTAGATACATGATGCACAAACTGGGGATGAGGAGCAACTTTACCGGTTTTAAAACATCAGCTAGCTAGTCCAGCATGCAAATATATATCTGCATGCGAGGCAGCATATGGAACAATGGCAATGTGTACTCATAAACTATCTTACCTGTATAACCTGCGATCCAGCCCCATGAAGACACCATGGCCAGCAACCATTTGAACATGACTCCTTCAATGTGCCAAAACGTGGAGCTGTCCCATATTCTCAGCGGCTGCAGGAGCAGCAGGTATAAGCAGTAGGATGGGATGGCTACACAGTTGTTGAGGAACATAAACACAAAACGAAGCACAGCCTTGAGCAGAACCCAGCCCAGTTTGCCGGCCCCGTCCAAGAGCTGTGCCATCCTGATAGACACCGTCTGTAAAGAGAGACACAGCAGCAGTTAGTAAGAGGAGTCGTGTGTGTACACAACGTTATCTGTAATATATCCAGTGGTGTGGTTGTGCCTAGGGGGAAGTGGGCATGCTCTTAATTTAAGCCCCCAATTTTGTTTAAAGTCCAGCAACTAAACACCCAGTGTCGTACACAGTGACATCATGTGGGGCTCCTCTAGCATATTTAGCTCAGCAGGATTCCCACATCGTCACTTAACTTTAGCTGCTTGACTTCCGGTAGCAAGGATCATTATGTAACTAACAGGAGGGTTTTTCCAGATGTTGCATTAAATACTAACCCACAGTCAGACAACTACGTGCCTTTACTTCGCCATGCTAGGGACGAAAAATCTCCCAGAACACCACTGAAGGATGCTCATCCATCAGAGGGGGATACACAATCCGTACACCCTGCACATACACACCACTCAATACATTGTAAACAAACGGATGCTCTGGGCCGGGCCACAAATCCTACAGTAAGAAACCACACACACACACAACACACACACACACACACACACACACACACACACTCTGGAAACAGGAGGAGTGAGTCTGCCGCTAACCGGTTGAGGGTGAGGCTGTTTAGTGGAATCTAAACGTAACACACAATATCTATCTGATCACCAATCAACAAGGAATCGATCCTCAACTGTGTGTTTCTCTCTCATTCGTGACATCCTGCTCGCTAGCTTGCACAGCTTACCTTTTTTTTAAAAAATTTTTTTAAGCAAACAACGTTACGTGCAAAGACACCAGACCATAAAAGGACCAGTCGCACGTCGGGACGTTTGCTTCAGCACTTCCAGACGAGCAAGACACGCTAGCAAGCAGCAGCAGGAGGAGTTAGCATAACGGGAACTGATGTTTTTAAAGAAATGTGGCCGGTGTGCACACACACACACACACACACACACACACACACACACACACAAAAATAAAGGTTTTACTCGAAGGCTGGTGCAATATCCGTGTGCCTCATCCAGAATATAGTCCGACCCTTCACTAATGTAGTAAGGAGGAGGAGGAGGAGGAAGAGGAGGGGGAATAAAAAGTCTGCCAGCTCCTGTTACTCACCCACTTAATGTCTCTGAAGCATCCGAGGACGACCGGAGGTGTAAGCTAATTGCTGGAGCGAGATATAAAACTGTGTCACGTGCAGCTAACCCCCTAAACGGTTACGTTAGCGGTTTTCTTTTTGCTCGTGGACATGGTCCAACCCATCAGACCTGTGGACCGCGGAGGGAAAATGTCTCACAACCGTTACAACAACACGATAAAGCTGCACCCATTTAGCTAACGGGTTGTTTTTGTTGTTGTTTTCTTCTTCTTCTTTCTTTCTTTTTCTTTTTCTTCTTCTTCTTTCTTTCTTGTTGCTCGGGCACGGTGAACCCCCGGCGGGCACCGTTAGCTCGCTAGCTAGCTAGCAAGCAACTCCACTCGAGCGTCGCTGGCTCCATCTCAGGCAGAGACACCGGGATAACTCCACTGATGCATCATCATCATCATCACCGCCATCTTCATCTTCATCACCGCCACCATCATCATCATCTTCATCACCGCCGCCGTCGTCGAGTTAGCTACGTTAGCTACCGAGCTCCCATTAGCAGCAGCGGTTCGGGGCCGGAGCTCGCTCTCTCTCTCTCGCGCTCTCTCTCTCTCTCTCTCTCTCTTCTCGCGCTTTCTTCTTCTCTTTTTGTGTCTTTCTTTTTTCGTTTTTTTTGTGTTTTTTTTTTGGTTTCTCTCTCTCTGGTCTCTCTCTCTCCTCTCTCTCTCTCTCTCGCTCTCTCTCTCTCTCTCTCTCTCTCTCTCTCTCTCTCTCTCTCTCTCTCTCGCTCTCTCTCTCTCTCTCTCTCTCTCTCTCTCTCTCTCTCTCTCTCTCTCTCTCTCTCTCTCTCTCTCTCCCCCTCCCTCCTCCCTCCGTTGGGATCAGCGCCGTTAATTAAACAAACGCTGCCACCGCGCGCAGTTGATCGGTGAGCGGCGGGTTTGTGTCGTTGTCTCGAGGCCGGTCGGAGCCGTTATCTTCCTCCGGAGCGTCAATGTGCACGAGACATCCAACCGAGCCAGAGCGGAAGTGAGTCCTCTTCGCCTTCACAATAAAAGCGGTTTTTTAAAACTTTATTTAATTATAATATAATATGATATATATATATATAATAATTTTACAATTAAAGAATACGATCTATTTTATTATTTATTCCCCACTACCTCCTGCTGTAACCCGAGCAGTCTGCCGTATCAATCACATTTGTATACAAAGCTGTATACAGTGTACATACAACTCTTATTCTTTATATTCTTTATATTTTGTGTTTTTTTATTCTGTTTTTATTTAATTTGTATTTTCTTATCTGTTGTGTTGTATCTGGAGCTGCTGTAGCCAGTGAATTTCCCCAGTGTGGGATCAATAAAGTCTATCTTGTGGTATTTCTTTAATATTCGCTTTTGATGGTTTTGAGTCTTTTAATTCACCTTTAATGAACTGTAGCACCGCTTCTAGCAGGCTTTGTTAATTTACCCTTTTTACCACCTACACTGTAATTAACCATTGAACCCTGAGCATGTAACCAAGCATCACACTGGAATAAAATTTCTACTTTTATTTCTTAAGTTAAAAATAAACAAATGAAATAATATTGACTCTCCTTTAAATTCTACTCCTGTTTTATACATACTGTCAATGGTTTCCACACACGATTGTGGAGTGCAGACCTCAAAAACCTGCTTTACTAATTATAATCTAAAATAAATAAATAATACGTTTTATACATTTTTATCTTTTGATTGTTATATTCTGCTCAGTATTAAATAAAAACAAAAAACAAACCTTGCTTTAGGATTCTGAATTTCTTGGGGGAAAAATGCACACACATATATATACAATATATATAATGGGCAGAGTTACTTTAAAACTGTAATCTGATAAAGTTACTAATTACCGGTTAAGAAATGTAGTCAGAAACCTAATCCAAGTATCACAATATTAGAGTAATATTGTTATTTTAATTACTTTCCATTACTTCTGGATTACCTCAACACCAAATATGTAAACAAAGGAAAAGAAATGTCAATAAGAAGTATTGATGCAAGTGTATACTATATTTGTATTTTTGTGTATTTTTAAAGAAGAACTGATGTATTTTAAAGTTGTAACCCTGGTAAATAACCCAAAATTTAACTAACTGTAACTATAATCTCATTATTTATTTTACTGTAAGTGATTAGTTACATTTTATGTATCCTGATTACATAACTACGTTACTCCCCAGGCCTGATATGCACATAACATTTATATACAGTTGTCTTTGGACCCCGACTACACAAATTTATTTCGGAATAGCCCCAGAACAGGTTTACACTAAGTGATTAATACAAGACTAGAAAATCCCCTAGAAAACTGTGAACCTGGTGCCCCTGGGGTCTGGGGCAGGAGTCTCTTTTGCCCTGTTGAACAAATGGGAGGGAAATTGATTAACTGAGTCTACAGTAGAATAAATAAAAATGATCATCAATCAACATCTTACAAGAATAAGACATTTGCTGGATGCTTTTCTTCTGAAAATATATCCTAATATCCAATCTGAACACCCCCCCTTTTTTTTAAAAAAGACCTTTTATTTTGAAAAGCACGTGTGGAAGTGTCCCTTTAAGTCGTTCTCACTTGACGCGCTCGGTTCACCTGACGCCAGATTGGAGCCATGAAGTGCGCAGGCTCTCTGGTGTGAAGCTCGGATGCTTTCAGTGCGAACAAACTGCTTTTCTAACGTTGTTGTGACTTCATCTGAAGTCATCTGGACTCAATACCGGCAGCACGTCATTATAAGATTACATCACCACTGCGAGGTCGCCGTTAAAATCGATTAATTTGGTTTCCATCACTGCTGAGAGCGTTTTACAATCTGCACAGTTCACAGCTAGAGTCACAAATGTTGGGAGATTATAAACATAGATTAACATAGAACAAGATTGTGGTTCTGTAAGGTGATGTTCATCGGTACACTGTGTGAATTAATATATAAAACTATTAGAAAAGTCTAAATTTAATGTTGTGATTCAGACATGTCTGGAATTTCAGTGCTCCTCAGACAATGATGTCCAGTTAATGACTCTGGTCTGCCCCCTGATGGCCCTGTATGTTATTACACTTGATGTATAGATGACAGTAAATCCAAGGACATTAAATAATAAATTGCCCTGGATATTAAAGCTTGTGTTGGATTAAGAATATGGACAGAGAATTAAATAAAATTGAGCTTTTTCTGGTGGCCAATGAATCTTTAGTGTAAGTCTTCACCATCACATTATTATGAAGGGTAAACACTGAAATTACTGCATCATCATGTGTCCTTTACACTGGATCAACATTGTTTTGTAATGATTACACTCACTGTGCAGTTTGAAAATTAAATCTTGCTTTTTAATGATTGAAAAATATGTACATATATTTAGTTTCTACAAGACAAAACAAGGTCAAAGCACACAATCCAAAACTGCTTTTGACGATGAAGCACTGAGTTCACTAGAAGCGAGCGTATGCACCCCTCGGTGGAGCAGGCTGAGCTCCACCCTGCTGCATCTGGTGGCGGAGCTGCTGGGAGTAAGGATCCTCCAGGGATTTGACAGACACCGTTGTCTTGGGCCCGGTCTTCCACTCGATGCCACTCTCGTCCACCACGGAGGCCTCGACCGTGACGGTGTGAGTACCCAGGATGGAGAAATTCAGCAAGAACTGGGTGCTGAAGTAGTCGTTGTGGGGTTCTACCCGCTGCTCGATCTCATTGGTCTTACTGTCGAGTGGAATCTAAAAGCAAAAAATATCATCAGTGGAGCAGCGACACAGCCACATTTCACCAACAACTGCGAATGTCAGAATTAGTAGATACCTTGTAGTCCGGTCCTGTCTTGCTCTGGAGAACTGAGGTAACATTGAGACAGACAGACTGGATCTTCCTAAAGAGGCCTGGAGTCGAACCGTGCTGCACCACCCCCTCCACCTTCAGAGTCAGCTGCTGGCTGCTCTGCACTGGGATCGGTTCGCTCGGTGTTCGTGGGGAGGGAGAGAGGGCCAGCTGCAACAACACAAGACATACCTGAGTCGGCCTCAAGAGAGCTGCGACTGTGCACCATGATTACAACTCACTAATTATAGTGATTATTAAATGAGTTACTGCACCTTAATGCTTGTAGACTGGAGCTTTTGGAAAAAATATCTCTGGAAAGACAGCGGGACCTTCAGCAGAGCTATGACGGCATCACAGAGACAACTTGTATGCTGTGAAACAACAAACAACAAACATGTTTATATTATTTAGCATTATCAGCAATTCGCTGCTGCTCATTTTTCTTTATTTAACCAAATAAAAGTCTTGTTGAGATTAAAATATATGCTTCTAATGAATACCAACATTAAAAAAATATAGACAATATACCCTTTTTCACAGCAGCCATTTTGATTATAAAACAGTAGGATAAACTCAGGTGCTACCAATGATTAATTAATTAATTAATTAAGGTTCCATTTAGTGTAGCAGAGCCTTTCCAATGAGCCAACATGCACATTAGAGGCACCCCGACTCTGTTGGTGTGGCTGGGTCTTCCGTCGTAATCAAGGATCCTGTCATCAACAGAGGGCGCTGCACAACGACCTGCAGTATATGACACGCCCACGTTGGTTCCCGAGGAAAAGCCGCGATTTTACTTTTAAGGTTGCGGCTGGAAATCAACTTTTCAGGTTCCGAACCGATTTATTTGTGGTCGAAATGCTCCGAAGGGCTCAAAACTAGGTGTTTGAGCCGTAATGGAGCCGGTTTCTTGTTGGTGTTAAAGGCTTATATTTGAACCTTATTTAGCATCTATGGTAACACCTGTGGTTTACCCTATTACTTCATGTAAAAATGGCTGCTTTGAAAAGAATACGTGGCAGCAGAATATAAGCACATATAAAACTAGATAAAAGCAGAGCATTTGTCTGCCATTTGCACTTTTAGACACCCTGCAGATAAAAAGTAACTTAACATTTGCAAACTGTCCTTTATTAATCTCACCAGGCAGGAAACAGGAGGGTGTTTCTTGGTGAGGCCCTCCACTTCCTCCAACACGCGACTGAAGACCGACATCATCCGTCGCTCATATTCACTCTCTGTCTGGACCGACCCCAGGGTGCCGTACTCCTGAAAACTAGATTGCAGAGACAGAGAGACAATTTGTTACAGTCAAACGTCTGCCAGGAGAATGGCCTCTGGGGATCTGTGTGTGTGTGTGTGTGTGTGTGTGTGTGTGAGTGTGAGTGTGTGTGTGAGATGGCAAAGCACTTCCAATAGAAAACACTGAAAACCTTTTTTTTTTTTTTTAAATCAAATTAAATAAGATGCATTTATTTCCATTACTATGTTATCTGTGTCAAATGTCCATGTACATAAGAGCTACATCCATACATCACTCTGTAGTAAAGCATGATTAGATTCCTTGACATACCCGATATGATGCATTTAAACTAAGTTGACATTCTTCCTCACACTTTACCGCCACAGAGGAGCCATCTTTTTTAATGTCATGTCAGCAAAAACCCTCCAAACCAAAGAAATGAATACAAAATGTAGAAGTCATTTCCCTCTACAGCTGTTTTCATTATGGAATATAGACTAAATCGAATTATAAACTTTCT